GCGGGCCTCGCCGCACCCCACGTGGTTTGTCTCCACGTGGTTTATCTCGAGGGTAAATCTGTTATTGTAGTAGATCATTACTATATTTTCTCTCCCTGCAAGTTGATGTAAACTTTCAGAACACTTTTCCATGGTTGCGGCATTGTCAACGGAAAGGTCATGTTGCGATTGCAAGTGGTATAACCTATGCATTGGATGTCAGGAAGCTCAGAGGTATGTAATGCACAATAACCATGTCATCAATCGAAACAAACTCGTTAGATATCCCTGCTCCCACCCCGTTTACAGAACTCGTCCCAGTAGAGCAAGAGATTAGAGGGAAAATAGAAACAAATAGACATTTATGTCAACCGGCTTGACTTTTCCGATCATCCAGCCATTGATGCCATTTTCCTCTCAAACCTCTTTTCCTAGGATCGGGATCTAAAGAAGAAGTTATAGTTGAAAATGATGATCCTGAATCGGAATCATTTGGTATCCTCCAAGATTTCATCCTTTTCAACATTGATCTTCCCTTACTTTTCGTATAACTGAAAAATGACTTTTTCCGAGATCTCACAGGACCTCTCATACCTGTCATTGGTCGATATTGAGTTAAGTGACTGCGACTTTGATACATTGTTTGATCCCGTACAGGGGTGAATGTCGTAGGATCTTGTCCTGTCGTTTGATACCTACTATACAGCTGAGAGATACCAGATCGGTAATCTGAAGCATGTTGATAATCTTCTCCTGGACCAAAACCTCGACTGAGATTCCCTTCTCTCAAAGAACTATCCGTACTAACCTCATCGAAAATTGCAGTCTGACTCGGCCCGTACGGTCCTCTTGGAGCAGATAAGAGATCTCCTACTGATCTCGCTTTGTGCGTGAAGTTGTTTTTGAAGATTGTGGAGATGTTGGAGTGTGCTCTGTTCAACAATCCGAGCTTGGAAAGGGGACGATGATCGGATGTGTCAGAGAATGTAAAATCATCTTTTATCCTGTATTTTTGCAAAATATCATCCATGGTGGTGATTGGTGCAAATCGTTTTGAGTATTCTTCATTTGTCACTTGAGTTTGAGAGGGTGAAGAGTCGGACGCGGCTGTATCATGAGCATTGACAAAGCATAACGATGTACAGATTATGGTGAGACGTACATGATATAGGAATTTCTTCACTCGAGACATTTGTCGTTTCATCATGTGTCTCCACTCTGGTTAGTCCGATCGGACGGGGATTCGCATTGATATTTCCGGTCTGCGTAGGACTTAATTGATAAGGGATAAAGTCATCACTGGTAGAATTAGAGTGATTGAGAAAATCGTCTGAATTGTAAGTCATGACTACGTTTGATATATAACGACATACGAGGAAATTCTTCCCATTTATTATGATCGCTCTCATGGTCTAACCTTTTGTCTGGGTTATTGTCATCCGAATGAGCCCTGTCGAAATCTTCAGGCCGATATTCGAAAGAGAAACCACTTGAGCCAGAGGATTCCGGTAAAATCTCAGGAGCGTCAAATACTGGACCTTGAGGTATAGCCGAAAATCCCATGACGGGCTGATCCGAAGATTTGTCTTGCTCCGACGACTGTGGGATTTGACGCTTCCAGTCTTCGTGTTGTATAGGGCCGGAAGAGTTGTCAGAGTCGTATTCTTGAAGGTCAAAATCACTTGTTGTAGTAGATCTATCACCTCCGGAACTTTGCTGATCCAAACCATCATTCTCATCCCCGACATCCAAATCGGCACTGACAGGCTGACCGTAAGCACATATCTCAAGGGCAGAGAGTATGAAGGATGTTGAAAAGAGCAACGAGATGGGACGTACCAAGATGGACTCTTCGATTATCCCCGTTGCGTCTGTTTTCGTGGTGAAATAAGTCCTTTGAGGGGCAGGCGCGATGAGAGGAGGATCTGAAGGGCCATAATAGTCTACTGTGATGGAATATGCGTATGGATGTGTGTAACCTTCTGTTCTTTCATAGGGGTGGGTATCACCTCCCAGGAAAGAGATGTCAGGAGCATAATTTTGGACTATCGTGGCCATCTGTATGGGGAACTGTTTTGATTAACAAGGTATGTTTATGTGAAAAGTTGATAGATATGAGTTTGTAATAAATTGTAGATGTTGAGATTGAAAAGGAGAGAAGAGGGTGACAATCGACATTGGACATATGAGACCGGAGGTGCGCTGCGACATCAAAGGAGGTGGTATGATATGACACATGAACAACTTGGGAGAGGAAAGAAAGGATGACAAGTAGGTCAGCACGTCATGGGGAAACGAGGACAGGGGTCTTGGGGCATGAGAGCGGAGTATATCGTGTGACGTGTTGAGATCTTGAAACGAGTTTGATGTGTGGAACAGATAAGTACTTCGCCCCGTCGTTTGTCATAGGAAGATCGAACATATAAGTGACTTACCCCTTCGTCGTCATTGGAAGATCGAAGTGATGAATATTTCAGTACGATAAGGAGGAGAGTTTCAACAACTTGGACTCTCAGTCCGAATGGGGTGTGAGAGCATTCATGAGACGTTAATGAGCCAAATGATGCCGGGGTCAAGTACTTAGGAAGGGAGACAGTTAGAAGGTGTAGTTAGGTTATGGTAACTTCCACTTGAGCAACCAACAGGACCTAGGCATTTGAGATATCCTCGGGTGGTCTTGTTTCCCTCTCATCAGCTAAGTTGCAAAGTTGACTGGTCTCAAAAGATGCTTACATGGTCTATGGTCCACTAACGTGGGCAGTGAGTAAGTAGTAAGACGACGTATGACGGCATGGCGAGAAGGAGCTTTGTGGCAAACTCGGCCATGACAATCGGAATGTGGCGTTGGGAATAGTGATATCTTGGGCACAGGTCACCGTCACAGTCTTCCTACTTTCTGCTTTGCTTCAAATATAGTGTTATCGCAAAGAAAGAGTTGCATAAGATCCTCTACTCGTATCCACTGCCAATCTTCATCCACGACGTAGAGTACCTCTTCTGAGGAGAGGCCCTAACTGCCGTCCGACAGAGCGATGTAGGGTCCTTCGTAGCCTATCTGCGGGTCGATTCCCTCGATGGGTCATGCAAGAAGGGTAAACGTCCAGAAGGTCAAATGTGTATGAACGAGGAGCCTGACCGAATAGCATTTTTTGTTCCATTGTGGTAGGAACGAATCTTTGATCCGCAATACTGGTGAGTCCATATTGACAGCGAATAGGCTTGTTGGTAGAAGGTTGAATGGTGACAGGACCAGAGACCTCACGGCTACCAGGAAACCATTTGAACCAACTTGTGGAAGGGCTCTCTTCTGCCGTCACTCCCGTGTGCACTTGTGATGTTGGTACTGCTTGAGTTGTAACATTCGGGACTTGCTCTGGGCCAGGAGCGCTGACATCATTGCTTCTCGTGAAGTAGTTCCACCAAGAAGAATCCTGTTTGCTCGTCATGGTCTCCCCAGCTTCTGACTGGGCAGTTACGTAAGTATCTGATGCAGCAGAGGGGGCGGAAGTTGGTGGTTGTCCATGGGAAGTCTGTGAATGTCTTGGGTGATCGTTGTCAGAGTCATCAAAGTGTCTAGCAACATCAGCACCATGACCTTATGAATTCAATGATGACACATGATCAAACTCACACTGTTCTTGCACTGTGATTGGGCATCGTACCGGAAGTCGGAGCATGTGTTGGTGGAGGTTGCATTGATTCCGCAGGTCTTTTAGCAACATCAGCACAATGATGTTAGAATCAAAGAATAATGCATGACTAAACTCACCCTGATCCAGGTTCACAGTGCCCAGGCATCCGGCTGTCGTGTAAGCTCGTTGCGTTGAAGTCTGTGTGAAACTTTGTAGTTGGGTCGAGGTCTGTGGTATCGGTACCCGTTGTATTGGGGGTTATGGTATCAAGATCGGTCCTATCCTCAGCCTGTGTCATCGCAGTCCGATTATTGCCGCTGAACACGGACGCAACAAGGCAGGCAGTAAGAAGTCCGCTGATTCCGATCAAGTGGCTGGGATCACCGTAGCTGGACATGATCAAGGAAAGTCCAGGATAAGTGGACAAATGAGTTGTTATGAAATGTGTCTACTTGAGATTTATTGTGTAAGATATTCAAGGAAAAAACTAGAACTTTCTCACACTCAAACAAAGGATGAAACATAGTTTGAAACTCCATCAGGATGAGACACATATTTGGTGGAGGAGTCATGGAAGAAAGGAAGGGTGAACTGTCAACTCTATGTGAATCTTTCTTTCGTCCGTCCATAATTTATCCGTCACGAATCGTCATGGCTCATACCTGTAATTTCTTCTGTTTTGATTTATAAGATCTCTCGAGAGCCGGGAATAGGTATTTGAGCAGCAATTGGTGATGAAAATCATCGATAAGCAGTAGAATTTTCAGTTTAGTGGTAGACATAACGATCTCAAAGGCAATAATATACAATCTAGGTGTTGGTAAGTCATGGTTTATCAAACTATTAATCATGACAGCTCATAAGTATACCGTTCCCAATCTCTTTCACATGCGAGTCCACGTTTATACCCTTGGAGAGAAGAATCTCCGTGAAGTTCCAACAAACCTCGAAGTCGCCCGTGTCGTAGGTCCCACCTTAGTTCCCCTCGTTAACGCCGTCATCATCCGAGAAGGAAGTCCAAAGAATTTTCTACTGTTTTCACCTTTCCACACTGACGTCCATCTGCTTGTCATTGGCGGTTCATTTCCGGAAGATGACAACCGAATCTGAGGTCCACGGCTTGGGAGTGGTTTCCTCCACCAGCTCTTGGCTCTAGTATCTTGAACACTAGTCTGATAGTATGACTTCTCATTAGCGTCAAAACTTGCCAAAGTCACTTTTGGATAAGAGTAAGTGGTAGAGTTATCAGTTGTTGGATTCCCGTTGGTACCCAACGTATTGATCGTATTGGTCATTTGGGGGAGGTCGTCGGTGTTGATGCCAAAAGACGAAGACAACTCGATACGTTTTGCACGATGGAAATTCGTTGAACTACGAGGAAGCATACTGAATGGAACGTCACGTTCGTTACTTTGATCTGTGGATGAAAAAGATCTCTGTTTGGAACTTTGTTTGGTGACTGAAATCAGGAGTTCGCTCAAGGCACTAACTCTTGTGGAACGCTCAGATAAGGATGGTGTCATCTTCGTGCTCACCACTCTTCCAAACTTTCGAGGACTTGTTTGATGACTTGTCGGTAATGGATCCGAACCTTCAGTATTTTGAGATTGGTCTGGAATGGGAATCTGAAAATGACTCAGTAGATATTCCATTGAGAATTTACTCCCCATGTCGACGGATAATTGAGGAGGGTTCACATTACGAATGGAGGGCATCCTGATCTTTGTCAGTGATATTCAAGCTAAAATCAAATACTTACCGCCTGTGGTCGCTTTCAGCCTCAGACTCAGGTGAAGTAGTAATGACTTCTGCCGTTTCCTCTCCATCTTCAATGGAGGGTTCCCAGTGATCTTCCCTCATCTCTCTTTGAACGTCACTACCTGACTCTCCGACATCATTCTTCATGTCAGTTCTCGAGCCATGTCCCACCTCCTCGAATGTATTTGTGTCCCCAGTGGTGATCGGTTTCAACTGAAATCCATCGATTCCCGGTGGACTCGAGGGGTTCATCTGCTTCACCCATATCTGATCGTCCTCTTCATCTATCTGGCCCTCCTCCCGCTCGTCTTCTGTGTGACCGGAACTACCGACATTGGAATGTGACTCGGTATATGATTTTATGGAAGGAGCCATACCTAGTTTGTAGCCGTTTGATAAAGCTTCTCTGACCGCCTCGATTCTCTTCTCCTCACTATGTCGGACCTCTATTATGTAATTTTCCGATCTAGTCGACGGTTGATTGAAAGGCTTTCCAAAATCCCCTACGTCAATGAACATAGGAGAAGTCGGATGTTTATCAACTGCCAACTTACCCTCATCAAAGCTTCTGTCTTCGCTGTGTCGTACCTCTATCATAGCGTCATCCGATTCGTGTAACCCGGAGGTGGATGTTGATATTGTTCCCCTTTCATCAGATGGCTGACGACTATTTCTCATCTCTGCAAGACGTGCCGATAACTTTCCCGTCTGATAATTTGATTGATGGGTCGAGAAAGCGAGGTTCGGTACCTTTATCATGTAATTTTCCGATGAAGTTGACGATTGGGTGAGAGGTTTTCCAAACTCTTCTACATCAATGAACATCGGAGAAGTCGGATAGTTATTGAATGCCGACACGTCCCTATTGAAGCTTCTGTCTTCGCTGTGTCGCACCTCTATGATAGCGTCATCCGATTCGTAAAACCCTGAGGTGGGTGATGTTGATATTGTTTCTCTTTTGTCAGATGACTGACTACTATTTCTCATCTCTGCAAGATAGGCCAATGAGTTTCAAGTTCGATAATCTGATAGTTGAGTCGAGAAAGCAAGGTCGAGATCGATAGTTATGGGTTTTCTATCTTGGTAAGTATTCGTATGTGTTTATTGAAATGGTATTTCGAAATAGGTCCTCTCATCTATCTATAACGACCATATATAGCTGAATAATCGGAAAGGTATGGGCACAGCTTCTCACCTTGGAAACAAAGAGATGGGGAGGGGTCACATTGATGTTAGGGGAAGGATGCATGAGACTTGAGAAATGACGGAATGCAAGAAAGGAACTCACAAACTCGCTATCACCTCCTGGATTTACAGAGAGTTGGGAATTGGAAACGGTTCCCATCAGTCTGACCAGGGTGTTGGAGTCGGAGACATGGTAGGTAAATGTCATGAGCCTGGGAATGAAAAATGATACTTGTCTCGCGATTCCCCCAACCCTCCTCAGAAAATGTGTGTCTCGTAGCTGCGTCCACATAGATCGGACGACCAAGAAATCCCCACAACTCGCAATGAATACAGATTAATCGTGTATGACACCTTGTCATTTCCTTCGGTGACTCAAAAATGCGGTTCCCAGCGATCGACATAATTGGCAGCATACCCCGTTCTTTCCCATTCACGGAAATCCCAAAACTCGTCCAGTTTAGAAGATCTTCTCGTTTCATCCCCATCCTCGATAACTCCTGCCATGTCAACGTCATTTGAATATCCGGTTTCCGGACTAGCGTCCGATCTTTGTAGTGATACATCTTTCCAGAAACTGAGCCAATTCCTGTGAATGACCTCGAAAGCATATTTCACCAGTTCCGGATTGACAAAAGCAGAGCGGTTCGTCGGCAAATGACTAAACCAAGATCGCCATTCTTGTGGTACGGTAGGATCTGTCCTGATCAATAAACCTATGATACTCCATGCGTCCCGTTTGGCATTTATCATCAAACTGATAGGTGCTTTGGAACCCATTAGGTTTTCGAGGGCAACCAATTCCTTTCTCTCCGTTGTAGAGAGTTGTGAACGATCACGACTTGTGAAGTACTCATCGCGCAACCAGGAGGTAAGTTGTGAGCTGGCAGAAAGAACCATTCGATCCGTCGGGTTGGTGAAATATGTGGGCTCAGTGTGTTCAGGATGAGACGATGGACTGAATGAGTGGTCGACGTATCTGGAAGTGGTGTGGGTATTGGTATGATCGGGATATGTATTTGGAGGATAAGATGAGGGAATCGCAGTGATATCGGAGTTATCTGTGGTGGTTCGGTTTGGTCTCCTCAATAGAGAGAAGTCGGAGAGAGAAGTAGAACCTCTGAAAGTAAGTATCGATGAAAACATTATTCATGAACACTTACTTGTCGTCTGGATCACCCTGAGAGTGGCTGGTGATACGGGTATCGTCATTTTGAGACGACACAATCGCAGCCGTATCACTGAATAAAGTCCCCGTAGGACCTATCGTCCTACCTGTTGAGCTGGTATTCCCCAGTAACCGCCGAAGTTGTTTAAGCCTTCTACCCTGTCCGCGGATTGAGCTCATCACCAGAAGATTGATCGAGTGTCGCCTTCAATATTGATGCGGAGATAATGGATAGAAGAGAAGAAGTGGTAAAAGGTTCTATAAAAGAAAGTCAGTGAAAGTATTCCGTCACCGCGACAGCCATGACGATGGGTATGAAGGGAGGGAGGTTGAGTTGAGATCCCGCAAGTGAAAGGAAATGGTCTAGTGAAAGGATCTGCCTAACTTTACTGAAATGTGATCAATAGTCGAAGATATCTCGGAGACAGAGGCAAGGAGTATCGAGGAGTTATGCAATACTTCAATTAGTATCTCAACACGATGTGAACGATATCAGTTTGCTCATTGAGGAAAGTCAGAGAACAAAACGTTCATGGTGCATACTCAAAAGTTTCTAAGCCGACAAAGAGTTAGAGTTTCTATCTATCTTCTTCGCCGGGAAGAGAGGGTCAGCGGAAAGTCGGGAGTCAGTAATGTATGAAGGAAGATTCGTTCGACGTGATCTGGGAATGGTCAAAGTGCCATGGCGCAACGTACTGCAATAAATGTAAATATCAAAAATTTCCGTTACGCAGTGATTGATCAGTTCGTGGAAAGTTGTCTAGGTCCCTGGAGGGGTCTACGAGGTCCTCTCGGAGACTTGGACGTCGCGTTCGTCGAGGTCTGCGGGATCGGTGTTTCGGTGAAAGGTCTTGCAGTGCTCGTGTTGATTGTACGTGTATTGGTCGTCGGTGGCGTCGGATCGATCAGATCTTCTCCGGGGTTTGTCTCATCTAGAAATCGGTGATGTTGATGTCTAGATGGGAACTGGCTATCGAATGCGAGGGCCAGTAATTCTTCGCGTGTCATCTTATCCACGGCCTTTGCTTCGAGTGTGGTGTTCGCCAAGATGAAAGCGGTGCAAATTGCATCTGCTTCTGGATTGGAATCTGGCTTGTGCGTTGGCTGCTGAGTAGTATTACCAAAGTCGGATTGCGAATTGTCGACGTCCGTATGCGCGGGTGGAGGGAACATCTGTGAGACCCATTCAGCGAATTCCGCCTCTGTCAGGTCGGGATTGGGGAAGCCGTGTGTGAAGGGAGTTCGAGCCACGCTTGGTCCCGCTTCGGCATATCCCCAATCGGGGTCGAACTCCGGGAGCTTCTTGCGTTGGGGCTTGCGCACAGTTCTGTTTGACGTTGAGGTCTCCTTGGGACGGATAGTTGGGGATGATGAAGTATCGAAAACTGTTTCTTCGTCTATAGACGACCGAGAAGCAGCCGGTATGGGGTCATACGAGATAAAGTCGGAGAGATCGACACCTTGAGTGATCTGCAATATCGCATCCTCGATGAGTGAAGGATCCAACGATGCCGTCTCATCATCCAACATTCTCCCAATTGTCTCCTCTATCTCACTTTGTATCCCACTCTGTATCCCACGTTGTATCCCACTCTGTATCCCACCCTGCAATTCCAAGATCACCTGGTCGTATGCGTCATCCACCAGCTGTTGAGACCATGATCTTATTTGGTCTGCTTCGATCTCCGTACCGAAAGCGGCAACGATAGTATCGATCTTGTATCTTCGGAAATCGTTCCGTCTATCCACCTCGTTCGTTTCTTCCCCCAAAGGATCGAAATCAAAGGCATAGCTACCGACGTCTACCTCATATGGGTCCAGCTCGGCTTCTGTTCTGGCGGCAGCGAACGCTGGTGAGGCGGCAGTGATTATTTGTGAGGGTGTTTGTGATGTCTGGGGCCATGCCCATGGCGTAGAAGAGTCGTTCCCAGGGGTTCTCGTCGCTGTTGTAAGCCGACTTGGTTGGTATCCCCGGTCATTGGGACGTGAAGTGGGTTGATTAGTGTAAGGCGCTATAGCATGAGAAGTATTGGTACTCCATCTCGGGAGAGTTGGGAAGTGACTTGTCCTTGCTGCAGTTGTCGGGTTCGTAATAGCAGAAGTGGGAGTTCTCAATGACCTGAAAGCCCGAGAGACGTTTGGTAACGGGGCCATGGTGTTTATAAGGCTGATTGAATTTTATCCCTATTTGATTGATTGGTAAGTGCCGGTGTGCGCACAGAGCTATAAGCTCAGAAATGATGTCGAGTAGTGATTTATGTTGAATTGTCAATAGTACTGTGAAGTGGCGAATGGAAGAAGAAAAGTTTTGAAGTGGGAAGAAATATATGTGAACGGCCGTTGGGGCCATCGAACAGGATGAATGGAGGGTGAATGAAAGGATGTTCTTCTGGGCTGTACGACAAGTTTGTTGAACGGTTGCGGGGTTTCAATGAGTATCGAGGAGAGAAGTCCAAGGAGAAGACGGACGTGATGATGAAATTCACATACATTCTCACGGTTGAATCTGAGATTGACAAAGGAAGCAGGGATGTGGGGGGGGGGGGGGGGGGGAAGCTATGGAGAGTGTTCGAAGGGGATGGACCGTCCGTCATCGCTCCGTAGTTCAAGGAGAATGTTCGAGAAGTGTAAGAGTGACCGACGTGGGAGATAATACGTCATTGAAACACCCATGATCCGCTTTCTCAAACGAGATGATTTTGGCATGAGAGGGTATAAGTCAAGTGCTTCAAGTAGTTACTTGGGTAGCTTCCAAACAAGAACAGTCGACGAAACCCCGTTGGTATGGAAAATTTGATCCCGCTCCTCCCTCTTCACGTTTCGCCTCTCCCCACCATCGCCTCTCCTTCTCCCCAGTGATCAGTGACCTCTCTCCACACGTCATCCTTCCCAATACTCAAACATGGACTCCTCTCGAAAATCACGATGGGACACGTCAGATCCCTCGGCTTCCTCAGCAGGACCTGCAAACGCCGTCAACACCGCCGACGCGGCCGCTCAAGCTGCAGCTATCGCAGCTAAGATTGCCGCTTCCCTTCGTCCCGGTGCCGGGTCGTTGGGGACTGAGTTGATCAGGAGGGAAGAGGCAGGAGGGTTCACTCATGATATCGATATCAATGATTTGAGAAATCGTTACTTGCTTACCAAGGGGACAACGCAGAAGGAAGTGAGTCTTTGTCTCCTTCACTCAAAAATTCTCACCCCAAACTTCATGTTACAACTCCTCAATCTTCTTACCAATAGTCCCACTTCTCTAACGTGTGAGGGGTGCGTGAGATGCAACATCAGATTATGCAGGACTATGACATCTTCTCGGTTGTTCAGAGAAAACTAGGACTCATGCTGATGGAAGATCGCCGATGCCACAGGTGCATCCATAGTCACCAAAGGTGTCTGGGTACCAGACACGGCCCATCTTCAACCAGGAGAAACCCCTCTCTACCTGCATATATCTGCGACGTCCAAAACTATGCTCGATGACGCTGTCAAACGTGTGCGTGACCTCATTGATCAGGATCTTGGACCTTTGATCGATGACCGAACTTTGGTGGCCAGAAACAGGGCTTTAGGGTTGCCTTTACCGGCAACTGTGTTGCCCAATGGTAGACCCAAATGGCCGGAGGACAAGCTTTACATCGGATTGGATAGTTTACGGAATTTCAATATCAGGGCGAAGACTGTTGGGCCTCAAGTGAGATTTTCACCCAACAAACCTGCCCCCCTTTTACCCATCTTCCCACAGATTCTCAAATTTGATTCAGCCGAACGCTAATCACACGGATCCCTCATCAGTCAGTAGAAAATTATCATCGTGGCTTGTGACTATATACGGGATTGTTACTATATATGGGGCTGTTACTGACTAACCAGGGAATGTTTGTAAAATATATTCAGGCGGAAACTGGTGCTCGAGTTCAGATCAAAGGTCTCGGATCTGGGTTTTTAGAACAAGATACCGGTCGTGAAGCTGAAGAACCGATGCATATCAACATTGCGTAGGTGTCTGCACTGCGTTTTTTCAAATTCAAAGAGCTGATCAGTAGTGCACCAACGCAAGAACAAGTCGAGCGTGCAAAGGTGTTGTCGGAGGATTTGTTGGCTGTTTTGAGGGTAGAATATGCTAAGGCGCGGGATGGACCAGGACAAGAGGGAGTGTACCAACAGGGATACGGAACGTACGCTGCACCGGGTCAAGACCCATATGCGGGATATTATGTGAGTTAAAGACCAGTTGCTTTCGTCTCTATTCAAGAATGACATCGACGTCCCATCACTCTACATGTCCGTTATGTTAATGACATTGCACCCAATAGTGATCTAATGACTCATGCTGGATACAACACTAATGCGCCAGGGTCAACAAGGGACACCCGCACAAGGTCAAGAAGGCACTCCTACTCAACCAGGCGCTACACCAGCTCCCGGTGGTCCCCCTCAACAAGGCTCAGAAGCCTGGCAACAGTACGCCGCTTACTGGGCTGCATACGGGTACGACGTTTTGGATCCTCAATGTATGTAATTCATCATCTCTTATATAACCAATTGGCTGACGAAACAGTCCAAGCTTGGCAGGCATCGCAATATGGACAACAGGGACAGGCTCCTCCTCAGTGAAACTGTGTAATCTATTTCTATACTCTGTGAGGATGCATGTATCTGGTTTCCGTTCCCAATCTCTCCATACTATGTTTATTGGTATCTCGAAACTGCTACTAATGTGTCAGGAGACGAGCATATCATGCTGATGGAAGAAATGTCGGCATAGTCTCATCCGCCCGAGACACACGATTCTCGGGGAGGAGAGTCCAAGTCGAGTATAACAAATGAATATAGCACCTGTTCCTATCACTGAACCAGTAGAATACTAGGAACAGTGTACACTTAGGTGCGGGGGTTGAGGAAAGATCAGCACGAATATAATTCTGTTCGAGGAGGCGGCTTGCTCTGGTATGAGGAGAGGAAGAAAGGGCGTCATATATCAGAAAACTGAGCGGTATGAAGAGAAGAATTTCCTGTCGTGATCTTCTCCCTGTCAGCTACGGTGGTTATGGATTATGGAGATGTCGCATGTCGCACCATTGGTAAGATGGGAGATGTCAGAGGGTGAGAGGAGAAGCTTTTCACTTTTTTCTTTGACATGGGTGGGTGATGGTTGATAAGACCTCGAACGAAACTCCACGTCACACTTCACATGTCTCCCGGGATACTAGGGATCCCTGGCCGCCGGTTGACTTTTCCTCCTGGAGTCTTCGTCATTCTACCCTCGAGACAGCGAGATGATTGAAAGATAGGGCGCTTTGCTGAGCGTACTGACCTAACATTCACTCAAACCTGACTTCTCTCTGAACTGAACTGTGTTTTCGGGATTGTAGTACAACCAAGATGCCCTTTCCCCCATACTCAAAACCGTTATCTTCGGTCATATCCGTTTCTCATAATCTCAACATATGACGACTCCTCTTCAAAATCCCAGCTAACTTTTCAAATCATCTACAAAGGATCAGTTCTTCTTTCCACGTTGATACAAATTCTATTCGAAAATGAAAGTTCTCGTATTAGGTGCAAGTGGTAAGTCGTTTCTTCTCATCGTTCACCGTCAAATGAGAGGGAGGAGGAAAAAAGATCTCAAATTGATTAATAGGTTTCATAGGAAACGCAGTGACCTTAGCTTTTGTTCGTGCTGGTCATATTGTTTATGGACAAACCAGGGATCCGGCAGTAGGAAAGGAATTATCAAAAGAAGAAGTCATCCCTATACTTTGTGATCCTTATACGGACGAAGGGAAAGACGTTTATGCTCCCATCGCAAAACAAGTCGATGTGTGTGAGTTTGATCCTTTCATCTCTAATCAATTTCTCATCTATCTATACATATATGATCATCTTTTTGTAGACAATTCTTTGGAATGAACAGATGTGAATATGAAAGCTGATATATAGTTGTAGATTGCCTTAAATCCGGTGGTGCGGACAAAGCTTTAGGAACACTCAACCATTTTCTTTCTTTAGTACAATCTCGTCCTAAAGCAGGTCCTAAACCTACTTATATCTATTGCGGTGGATTATGGTCTTGGTCACGAGGTTCTGGAGGTTTAGAATCTTGGACAGATGAAAGACAACCTAGATCGGGTTATAATCCAGCAGTAGCTTGGAGAGAAAAAGTTGAAGAACCTTTGTTACTTGGTAAGTATATATATTCATTTTCTCTTCGTTTGTTTGTTTGTTTGTTCGTTCCTTTCTTTCTTTCTTTTACTTAAATAGATATCTTCCCACTTTAAAAGTCGAATACACTCTTTCAAAACCTGATTTTGTGCGATGATCGTAATGTGCAGAGTCTCAACGAGAGAGGGGTCAATCAGACAGATGTCGGAAGGGAACCCACTGACTTTTTAGACGAAAGGATATACGGGACAGTCATAAGAGCTAGCATGTTATATGGCAGAAGTGGCTCTCATGTTGGTAGAAACATATTCGAAGTGGCTTTTCAAGCTGCTACCAATGGAAATGGTGTGTTTGAAACTCTTGGAAAAGAGGATACTCGATTACAAACTATTCATGCGGATGATTTAGCCGAGTTGTTCGTACGTGTGGGTGAAAGAGTGAGTTTCATCGTACTTCTCCTACCAAATCCGCTTCGGACTTGATATACCTGTCAACCTTGTGCTAAACCCCCTGGACGCCTTCACGAAGGACAGAGAATTCTACGCGGAAGGGAATGGACGATGATGATAAATTAACCACGTTTCGGCGTATTTCCTAATTCTATCGGACGTCCTATCGAGCTAACATCCCAGGGCCCAATCTGTCGCGGTCAGACTTTCCTAGGTGCAAACCCTCAATCTGAATCATTGCTCGACCTCTTGAACGCAGTCACCAGGGTATCTGGATGTAAAGGGTACAAATTGTCAGGTCCTAAGACGCGTGAGTTGTCGTCTTTCTCTGACCCACTATTCATCATACGCCGTCTGCTCCCATTTCAACTATCCACATCGACATTGTGTGTCTTCTCTGTGCCGATATAACCATCGCTCACCGGAACCGTCTTGATAATTGGGGTCGAAGCCGCTCGTCGGCGCTAGACATAGCTTGAGGCGTGATACTATCGCTGACATGGCTAGCCTACGACGATTGCTGGGTTTCTACACTCAACCTTCGTCCCAGTCTTGGTTACGCTCTGACCGGTTGGCAACCCCGAAAAATGAGTTTGGTGGATAGTATGGACACTTTGTGGACTGCTTATTTAGCTCATAGAGAGTGATCTGAACAAACCTCGTGTAGACTCGAAGTTCGTTCATGAGAACCAGGTTTTATATGTAACTTATCTCTAATTCTGTGCTTTCTTTCGGAATGATATCCACGTGATTCACCTTTGTCCTCCATTTAACATTTCTCATTCCATCAATCGAATTATACGGATCAAAGAAAAGGTAGTCCAGTCCGCTACGTACAGTCTCACGCATGGTATCAAATCAGAGTAAGTATACTCTCCTCGTACCCTTACCATCACGAGGTACAGATACTCGTGTAGTATCTTTGTCATTCACACCTTTTTCTCCAAATCCAAATTAACTATCTTCCGCGTGGATATCCCGTTGGCTCTCTGTGCATGCAGGTGTGGAGTAGAGTACAACACTCAAAGTGGAGGCTCTTTGAAGAATCTCACGAATTCCCGGTCAAGCCGGTCCGACATGTCCGACTCAATGGTATGGTCAAAATTCCAAATCTACGAGTCAATAGTGCACTATCTCAAAGTAGCTTACAATTTCCCCCATCAAGTTCCTGACTCTCGTAACGTCAAAGTGTATGACCTTCTTTTGCTCTACCTTCCCCAAAATATCAATGTACTTTCAACGTCACCTCCTATATGTTGATGAAAATACATGGTGAGCTATTCAAATTGCGCATTTACTAAGTGGAGGAATTCATTTTCTTCGGACGTAATCGAAACTCATCGGTTCTAATCGATCAAAGGGGGGGTACACTAGGCACCGGTAAAGTAAAGTAACCGAGGGGTTTGTGTCTCAATTAGTGTACGGACTTAAAGTAGAGTAACGACGCCCTTACGCCCTCACCTCAAACGGCTCAAACGGGATTGAAAGTGAAAGATCGGCAGATCGGCAGCATGCTAAACTTGGAAATGTGTCACGGGGGGCGAAGTTTAACGTGTTTTGAAGAAAAAGTTAATAAGAACGGTACACTTCCTTGATTCCTCCACATTCCCCAACACAACTTTCATCTTCAACTGTCCTTTGTATCGTGTAACCCCTTCCTCAACTCGTTAATCATCATCCACTCTGAAGCCACGTACAACGACCAACATCTAACATATAAAGAAGACTTGAACCCACCAGATCGCAACCACAACTACCATGACAGAAACAGAAACAGAACCTAAATTCATCGAGGGGAAAGATGATGATTCTCAAAAACCAAAAGTTCAAAGAGCAAGTATCAGTTCACAATTAGCCACTTGGCATGCGGATAGAGGAGATAAAACTTTTATTCAAGCTATGATACCTCGTATACATCATCCTGCCAATGGGATCAAAGTCACGAAGAACCCTTTCAAATTATTAGCCATGGTCTCGTTGTATCCCGGATGGCTCATGTTTTTCTCTGGTCAGTCAATCCTCTTTCTCTCTTTCTCTTCTTTCTCATCTCACCCAATGTCATTTGCCTTTTGTTCACTTAATTTTTGTTTACCTGTTTCTCATCATTGTCAAGTCTTCCATCACACCATTTCCTTATTCGGTAGACAAGTAGTTACTCACCGCCCGAATATACAAACAAGTATGACACACCTCCTTTCGCTTCCCCTGACCCCTTATGCGTCTCCGACAAAATCTCAAATGAAATCTTGATGTGAAATCTCATCAAACGTGCTACATGCTACGAGTACACTATATAGACGGAAGCTGATCTGAAGGTTGGTTCGCTTGGACTTGTGATGGTTACGATTACTTCGCAGTCTCTTTGACCATACCTCTCCTCGCTAAACAATTCGACAAAACGACACATGATATAACCACTGCGATAACTCTTACTTTACTCTTCCGATCTCTCGGAGCTGTCATCTTCGGGATTTTGGCAGATCGATTCGGACGTAAATGGACTTTAACGGCGAATTTGGTAGTGGTTTGTATATTCGAATTGGGAAGTGGGTTTTGTAATACCTATTCTCAGTTCTTGGCAGTTAGGTGGGTCCTCTTTCGTCTCTTCTTGTCATTTACTCTTTCACCCACTCTTGATTCGTTATACCGTTTTTTGTCAGTCTTTCGAAATTCACACTCATGCTCGAAGCCTTGTCTTTTGTCCTGTATAGATCACATCATAAGCCCGCCTCCAACCTTGACATCTCAAATTCGCTAAAGAGTGATTCCCCGTATCGACTCTCGAAGGCTTGTCTCATACAAGAGATACAAGAGAAGGGCATTTACTGACCCCTAGGGCCTTATTCGGAGTGGGTATGGGAGGTATCTGGGGTCAAGCAGCAGGAGCGTGAGTCCTCTCCTATCCATCCATTCTCTTACCCTACTTTATTGTCCTTCCCCTCTTACTTTCGACAAGTCATATTAAAGTTATCTAACACCACAGAGCACTCGAAAATGTCCCCATCGAAGCCCGTGGTATCTGCTCCGGTATCCTTCAACAAGGTTACGCAGCCGGATATCTTTTAGCGGCAGTCATAAACCTAACCGTCGTCACTTATTCCAAATACACTTGGCGATCATTATACTTTATCGGAGCTGGATTTTCCTTAGCAGCCGCTATACTTCGTGCTGTTTTACCCGAATCACCTCAATATGTCAAAGCTAGACAAGAAGCCAAAGCTTCTGGTCAAACGACATCTCAAACGAGTAAAAATTTCGCCAAGGAAACTTGGGTGATGTTGAAGACGAATTGTGAGTGATTTTTCTCCATATTCTCTCTCTTTGGGGTGTTTTTTTTCGGTCACACTCTCTCGTTTTTCTGTGATGGAGAGAGGATAGGTTATTCTCGATGAAGCTGATTTATAGATCTTAAATGGATTTGGGCGGTTTGTATGATGACTGGGTCAGTCTCCTGCCTCATTATCCTCCCCCCTCCCCGTCCCCTTTCTTGACTTCTCCACTCTCCCGTTTTGTTGGCACAATGCACTAACGGTTAGATTCAATTTCTTCTCCCATGGATCTCAAGATCTCTTCCCGACTTATCTCATCACATCAAAACATTTATCATCTAAACTAGCTTCAAAAGCCACCATCATCTCAAAGTGAGTTTTTAACCACATTTTCGCAAAACAATTTCTGACAGAGTAGTTGTGGTGCTATTGTTGGTGGTACTTTAGCAGGGTATTCTTCACAATATATAGGACGACGACTTGCGTGAGTTCTTACTCCCCTCCCCCCCCCTCCTATTCAACCATCCTCTGACCGTTGACTTCTATAATTCGATGAAATTACCAATTGAGAGGAAAGGGAGAGCAGAATGTAGACTGATGAATAAGAATCATCATCTGTCTTTTGTATACTGCATGTTGGATCCCACTTTGGATATTACCTTCTTCTTTTGGTGGATTATCAGCTGGAGGATTGTGAGTTATCCTTTCATTTAGTCTCTTTCCTTCCCCCTCCCACCCCTTCTTCCCCAGGCGTACTCTTTCATCCAATTCTGACCCAACGATCTCCCTATCCCAAAATGAGTTCCCCTACCGACGTCACAATACGTTCGCTTTCAGCATCCGAACCGTCAGCTACAAAGCGTATCATATAATCATCGTACGGAGCTAATCCCAGCTTCATCCAATCAGGTGTTCAAGGTATGCCTCCCTTCTCCTTACCTCCAAGTTCGCTCATATGTAAGTACATGGGCTGACTTGCAGGCGCATGGGGTGTAGTCCCTATCTACCTAGGAGAAGTCGCCCCTCCCGCCTTCCGAGCAACTTTCGCCGGGTTGGCTTATCAACTAGGTAACATGGCTTCTTCCGGTGCGGCACAAATCGAAACGGATGCAGGGGAAAGTTTGAAATTAACAGGTTCCAACATACCTGATTATGCTACTATTCAAGGGATCTTGATTGGTGTTGTGAGTCTTTTTTTCTCCTTCATCATCTCATCTGCTCTTTTTCACTTTCCTTTTCCTATCATCTTATCCGTACTGGACGCTCCCCATCCCTCTGGTTGACTCTCAAATTTGATTGTTTCATGCAGCGGTAGAAGGTTGTTAACTTCTAGGTGATCGCCTGGATGCTAATCTTCGCTTTCTTAGGACCTGAAGCAGATCATTCACATTTCGAAAAAGCAAAAGTAGCTTTCCAACAAGGAGCAGGAGCAGAAGCGACCACCGAATTAGTCGAAACTAATCTTCAATCACCTTCCTCTCATAGATCTCGCAGAAGGGATGAATCTCATCACGATGATTCGGATCATCATCAACATGTTGAAAAGATGGAAGCTTGATTGTGATTTCTTTTTTGTTTTTCTCAATTTATAATGTAGTATGGAATGAATCGGTGCTATAGTTTTGTATTGTAAGAAGGAAATAATCGGATGATGAGATAGTGAATAGTTGGATAGTCTAATGATTGAATTAGTGAAGAGAATTTTTGAAATGGTTGTACCAATTACATGCACGTAGTCAATTAGTGTGGTGTTGTATTCCTCTGTGATTGAATCCTTCCAAGCGTGCTTTGATTATGCAGTCCGTTATCAATCGTCTCATGATGACTAAGAGTATGAGATGCATGATGATGAGAGAAAGAAAGATGTTTATCGGTCAGAGAATGATTATCATGATGATGGCGGAGGAAAGTATGAGAATTAAGAAAGTTTAGAAGGTCGACGACCCCATGGGAGATCGTACCATATCTTGACCATACGTCCACTATCTTGACCTATACCGAATACTGAGGTCAGATTATATCCACTGGGCGATTCCGGAACGCGGAACGATATAGAGTCACAGTCCTTGGAGAAGGTGGTATGGCGATGAAATTGATCCAGGCATATGGATAGAAACATCATCTCAACGGTCGGAGAGAGAGAGAGACGAGAAGTTGACCAGATGGCAAAGCATGAAACAAAATATCTCCATCGAGAAAGATGTGACATGAAGAATGTATGTGGTTGATTAGGATAATGATCAGAATCATATTTGAGTCAAGGTAGGACAAGCTGAGACAACAAAATCAAATGGAGAGGTAAAACTCCAGAGAATCACTCACATTCCCTCTCATCACCTTCCATCCCTTCCCTAAAAGCTTCCCCAGTCCCATGTCCTGATTCCGGAACGGAAGCGTCTGTGGAAGCATGATGAGCTGCTAAATCTTGTAATGGCGGTAAACGGTTTATGAATGCCTAAGAATCAACATTCCCCCCTTCGTCCGAACTTTACATACATCCCCAAGACCAATACCTATTTCCTGAACACACCGCCAATATCTGTATCACCTCTTCATTCTCATTTCAAAATGACAAACCAAAACACAACGGCTTTCAAGAGAAATTCTAACCTTCCACTGTGTTATACAAGAATTGAGATACTCGTATGAATCAAAGGGGGGTTTTGTGTGTGGAAACCCTTGGTGGAGATGATTTATTCCAGTTGAGAGAGAGAGAGACGAAAGATTCAATGATGAGATAAATCAAGACTCACTTTCAAAAGCATATTTAATAATTCCGTTTGAGGTCTATCATCCAACCTATTTTCATCAACTTTCATATATGTTAAGTTTGAGAAAAAGAAAACTTACACATCAGCTATCCTTTTTCCAAATCTATACCACCATCCATTTCCTCCTACTAGATTTGATAATCTCACAGATGGGGCAGAAGCGTTCAAAGCTGCTCGAACTCGATTTGAATATGCTGGGGGAAGTGGGAAAGTAGTGAATTCGCTGTTCATCAGCGCTGCATCAACTTGTATACCGATAACCTCCTAGACTTTGATGTTAAATCTTCCATCAGCTTGCTCAGGGGAACTAGGGGGAAAAGGTTTGAATGGCGGAGGAAAAAATCATTGATCTAGTCGAGAAAGAAGACTGAGAGACTGACTTGAGAGAAAGAGTTTGAGCGAGCCAGAAAGGTAATTCTAATTTCCCATGTTGATGTATCTGCGCGTTAAATGGGTTGAGTTCCAAGTCTCATCGTCGTCTCGTCCTGCTGCAAGATAACATATCATGTGTTGGTTCTCCCTTTCACACGACATAATCCATAGCTTGGACTAGGCCATACAGACCTATATTGACTAGTCAGGATTGAGAAGGTGTCAAGTGAACGGGAAAGCGGGAAGTGGATCGAGACAACAGGGAGAAAGTTCACTCACATTGGGATCAGAACCTCCTTCTAGATATCCTAACCCCGGAACGTCTAGTACGAACGTGCATGATAATTTCTATCCGTTAGCATATTGCCAGTGAGGCCTCATCAGCTGGAAGAATGATGGATATCCGCATAGTGCCAGCAGGGGAGAAGTGGGGGATATAGAGGGAGACGGAAGGACGGACGTGGTTATCTGCTAAGATGGAAGAGAGGGAGAAGTAATCTTCCTCCATCTTTTCTACCTGGACGTCTACTCTTCACCGTTGCGGGTATGCCTGTCTCCACTTGGCCTAAGTAGGATATCGTTAATGGTGTATTTGTATATCGTTGTTGTGAGTGCGTTAGGTGGAGGTGGAAGACGCGTCTGAGATGTCATTTCTTTCCAACGGAAACAGATGGCCAACGGTCAAGATGTTACCAGTAGCAACGCGCAACGGAAGGGGGAGGAGGGTGATGCAACTTACTAGGGGAAAGAAGCGACATGGCGACAGGGATGAAGAGTCAATGAGCATACCATCATGAAAATATGCATAGATTCACACTCTACTTCTTTTCTATCTGCAAATCCACCCTCCTCAGTCCCATGGACAAGACGAACAATCCTCCCACCACAGCCGCCACAGTCAGAGGTTTCTGCAATAGTGCCGACAAAGGGTATTCGTAAGTCACATAAATTGACTGAGCATGGAATTCTGTACATCGGGTTTTTCGAATGGTTATCATGTGTCTTCCCGTCGAGTCGAGATAGGTTTTGTGAGTCGTGTGATCGATGGAGTCGACAGGGAAGGGTGTGAAGACTTCTACGGAACTAATGATGAGTTCTGAACCCCTTGTCCATTGCTTACACCCGCAGCATCATCACAGAGTGCTACACCATAGCAGCTTGCATAGTAAACTCAGACAGGAAAAGGAGGAAAGACAACAGGGAAGGCAAATTCTAAAAAAGTGATGAACGAGAGAGGGACATGGACCTGATGAAAAATCACTCACCGAGCTCCTTCAGGAAGAACAATCCTCAATTCCGCAACTTCAATCACCATATCTTTCACAGGTGTCAAAAACGGTACAGCCAAAACATATTTATCTCCATTGACTTTCAAAGCATCCCCCAATGGTAAATCCCATCCAACGACAAAACTGTAATTCCATCCGCCCAACAATGGATATCTCGGTTTCAACTCCAGAGTAGCGTCGACTGTCCTTGCCGCTCGTTTCTTGGTCGATATAGCTGGTAAAGTACCAGGACGGAAATGAGATGTAGAGACGTTACCTATAGTGTCGTAGAAATAAGCCGAATGGGCGTTTGGAGGAAGACGAATTGTTAGGTCTGTGAATATTTGGGCGGGAGTGGAAGCGTGAAATCTGGATTGTTGATGAGTCAATCGAGAGAAGAAGCCTTTGAGTCTGGAATATCAGTCAAATTCACCACAGTGACACAGATTGTGATGGAATGATAAGAGGGGATTGTGAAACTCACTTTGGCCCCATATTCACCAAAGCCATCTCATCTTGAATATTCAAATTTCCGCCCCAATGACTAACCTCTGCATTCCTTCTCAAAGATGACAAACCTATGATTGGTTGATTGGTCTCGTAATGTACCGACAGACTCGACTGTTTCAAATCCCCACCAAGTGTAGGAGGAACGCCATGAAAAGGACCTAAAGTTACCGTACCCGAAGCTTTCGTCACGTCTGAATCTCTGATATACTCCTTGGGGACTTTTGACACTGACAATATCTGAGCTGTAGGTGATCTACAAATCAGTATGTTTATCCTGTCATATACAGATCTACTGACCTAATTTTGATCCTCTCTACTTCTGTGGGATACCAACTGTCCACATAAGTTGAATCACTGTTCCACATCAGATACTGCGGATCGGTTTGTGCGATTTCAGCGGGTAAAGGTGTTGAACAATGAGTCAAAAGTTGATTGACAGACAGTGTCACAGCTTGATCTTTCTTCAATTTTCCCAATGATAAAACAACAGTCGGTGCACTGTAGTCAGTATATATGTAGGTCGTATCTTTTCGTAGTCAAGTGGAAATCAAAGGATGCTGAACCCACCGAGCCTCGGAATGCAAAAGTAATCTAGATTCGACATCTTGCCCACCAAGTTTGACTTCCCACCAAGCAGGTTCCAAATCTCCAGAGCCTGCGAGAGCTAACCAATATTCTGAAGGATCATCAATGAGGGATTTGATGTTGTATTGTGTGGTGATGGAAGTGGTCGCTCCTCCCAATTCGACGGTACGAGCTATGGCTGTGTTGATGTAGTTTTGAGGAGGAGATGTGGCTTGAACTAGGGATACCAGTAGAGCTATAGGGAGAAGGAGTCTCATCTTTGGTGACCTCACCAGGCAATACTACTTACTCGCTACCCCGCTGTCGTCACTGGAATGTTGAGGGTAGACGTTCCTCAACCTGCACTCTACTCGTATTTTAGCGCGTAGGGATAATCCCTACGGAACTCGAATTAATCCCGACGAAATTTTGCCACTTTCTCCCAAAATACGTCACTCAACCCGAGGATCCCTCCACTACTGACCCAAATACCTACGGAATGTCCCCAAATCCCCCCTGTATTGAATATGCATCCTACCGTGGCTTCCTGCATATCTATCTGTTGCCACACGTATTCTGAAGCCATTCATGCAGGCAGAACCTCCGAATTCGGAGTCCTTGGTTCTCTATAGCCATTTGGAGATCAAATTCGGAAACGCCCCCGAAAGGATGTCTCCTTCAACCCTAGGCACTGTTTGGCGGTGTTGGGGCACAATCATTTACTTCTTCTCTCTCTCTCTCAATCTAAACACAACAGTGACTTACTCACTTAATATTACAAGCTTTATGTCTCAGAATAATCAAGCTGATCAACTCATTCTGAACGCTTTAAAGAGAAAGTCGCCTTTTCGTGGTCGACCTCCGAAAGTTTATGCTCCTAGTGCACAAACACCATCAACATGTCAGTTTCTTCCCCGAAACTTGTATTACTCCTTACTAACTATGTAGCCGGTCCTTCCCAACGTACTGAGTCTTCTTCTATCTACAAGGCAGCTTCGGAAATCCAGTCAGTTTCAGTTTCGGTGCCCTGTAAGACAGTCCCTTTTCCTTTTGGTTTATTGAAGCTTATGCTCAGTAAATAATTCAGAGCAGTTTCCCGGACCCTCGCAGCTAAGCCCACAGAGTGTTCTCCCCCAATCTTCCAATCACAAGATGCCTCTGTCCACGGCTGATCCCAGTGGGTACTTTCGGACCCCCCTTATGTATCAACTGACAGGAGAGTTGCCTCAGGAAATACTCCTGTATCCTCCAACGGTATTGGTATTGTGACACCCGACTCGGCACCCTGGACAGAGCTTGTCATGGCCTCCCCCTCAGCTTCATTGTCTCCTGCTGTTCCGAAATGGTCTCCCTCTCAACCTCTGAATCCTATTTCGGTGGAAGATGAGATCATGACTGCCAGGCAAGAGGCGGCCGGGCGCTTCCGAATTGTCAATATCTCTTCCGAATCATACTCCGTACCACGTCCTGAGGCTCAAGTCTTGGAGCTGAAAGCTCCTCGCACCGATGCTAGTCTTGGGGTCAACATACGTGCTTTGGAAACCTTCTGTCGATTACCGAATCCTGACCTGGTGGATGATGATCGCTATGAACAGTTTGAGGTGGCGTTTCATCATATTCCGAAAGCCTTTGACGCGTTGGTCAGTGTTCTGCTGTTTCGGAAGTGTAACTCTGTTGATATATTAGCGTCAGGACTACCTCATTGAGACCCAGCATATATCCAAATGTGTTCAAGTGGAATGGTTGGATCCCCCTGGTTTATTACCCGCCGACATCAGGGGAAGACATGGCCTCTTCTTTGTCTCCGACGGTGCTGTCGCGTCATACCCGAATCGGACAGTGTTTCGGTCGATCTTCCGATGCAGTGGCAACTGTACCCAGATCCAGCCAACTTTGGACAGTGTCCACCACCATGTTGAGCCGAAAGCAAAGGATGAAACACAAACAACAGCCGAAGCTCACCCTCCAACTGCTGCCAGCGCACGATATTCCTCAAGAGCACGTTTAAAGTGTGATCTTTTTCTTGAGGTCGGTCACCTAAGGATGATTCATCTTCACTAAGCTCATGTTCTTAGATACGAATGACTCCCAGCAATATCCGAAAAGGGGTCTGTTGTCTGATCCGCCCGAAAGCTGCATATCACGGTCAACCGAACCCGTTGACATTACTTCGGATTTCGCCACATCTCCGAAACCTACTCCACGATGCTGCAACTCTGGTGGGAACGACTGAGTCACGTCTTCCGCTTCGGTGGTACAATTCCTTCTGCAAGATTCACCCCTATGTCCTATGGGTCAAGGCAAATTATCCCGAGCGTCTTCCTACCACCACTGACTTCCAAACTGCCATCCGAACGGCTCTGCGGCAGGAAAGGCTGGATCGGCTACCACTGGCGGCGATAAGTATCTTACATGAGGCCAATCCAAGCTCTTTCCTGCAGTATGTAGCCAGCGTTTCCTTGTCCTCATGAGCTGACTGTCAGTTGCGAATATCCTGAAGGCCTGGTACTCGGTGGCACTCAGCCATTCCCAGCGGACTCTTCGTTCATTGCAATCATCAGTCCGAAACATGCATTGCAATCAGCAATTCGGCATGCCACAGATCGGGGCCTCTTTCTTGATTCGTCTTGGAGAAATAAGAATGCAATACGCTGTCCCGTCACCTTGCTAGCCACAGTGAATGAATATGGTCATATGGTCCCTGGTGAGTCTTGTGGTTTGAAGGGTTTCGGGTTGTTTCGGAGCTGACAATGCTCCAGTAGCTGTCATGGTCTCGAATCACGCCAACACCGATTCCTACACCGAATTCTTGAGCGTTATCCGAAAGGCTATCAAGAAAGAAGCGAAAGCATTACTCAAGGGCAAATCATCAGTGGTCTCCGAATATGAGAATGAAGAGCAAATCCTCATCAACGCCGAATACATCCACGAGGAGGATTTCCTTCCACTACATTTCATGATTGATTGTGATGACGCCGAACGAAAGGCCATTGAGGAGGTCTTCCCGGGAACTCCAATTCGGTTATGCCAATTTCATTTCATGCACGCCGCCCGATCTCGAGCACTTCGGCTATTTGGGAGTGATCTGGTGGGTACCGAAAAGGCCTTTGCCTTCCTTGTGGCACTTCGGAGGTGCCAACGATGTTCCGAAGAGGAGTCTTGGTCAGAAGTTTTTGCTCGACTAGAAGCCGATGTTGCGGCAATCAGCAATAACGATCCCGAAATTTGGGACAAAATCAGAACCTGGCTCCTGTCTGAATGGTTCAGCGACAGATGGAGGGGATACCTTGTCGACTATGGTCTGCCACCTCATCACACCCGAGATGGTACTCTCTCAACAAACAACTTTGTCGAAGCGGCATTTCGGACCTTTGACAGAGTATTCCTTGAATCTCGAGCCAACAAACGTATAGACAAACTCCTCACAATCATCATCGACGTTTACTTTCCCATGTATCTCCATTCACCACCAACATCTGCCCGCTGTGACCCCACGGTTCTGTCACACATACTTCAAGGACTGGAGCTTTGGGAGCAAGGGGCGGTTAGGGAATGTTTCGGACACGAGATGCCTATGTCATTGAGAGGTCAATTAGATCATACATATTGTGTGACATCATCCGAATCGAGCAAAACAACACCGGACTCACATTACTGTGGGATCAAAGACAAAACTCGTGAACGATGCTCCTGCAGATACTTTACCGAAACAGGCAAAAGGTGCTCGGGTCTCTGGGCATTGTACTGCTTTCACACTTGTGGCTCCTCCGAAAAGTATTCTAATGGTGTCACGGCAAACGAACTGCGACTGCAGACTCGAGCTATACAGCTACAACGACGGTTAGGAGAGATATCTTATCCATTGGATCAAGAAGACCTTGTTGCCTATTGGGGACATGACCCTTCGGAGCCTGTGTGGCATGATTGGTCCTCCGAGCAGCCTCCGAAACAGGGCAAGCTCATCAGCATTGATAGTGCCAACCTTGATTTTGTCGAGCCCGATTCGCCCATTACCCGCCGAAACCGATTCCTCAACCATGCTGACGACCATCCCTCAACCACTGCCACGTTACCGGTTTCAAGACCAGAGGCTGATAAGGGTGGCCGTCCAGCAGCTCACCGCCCTCTGCATCCTTATCGCCAAAAGACAGCCCCCACAAAAGCTGGCATTCCTCGGGACGCACTACCACCACGAGATCGACCTGTTGGAGCAAAGAATTATCTTCAATCCTGTTTTGCTCTGTCATTGTTCCATATTGTCTTCCGAATCCCAGCCTTCGTGTCCGCATTCAACGAAGCTAATGACGCTCTCAGGCCTCACGCACCTTCTTTGATTGTGTTACTAGGTGACTTTCTTAAAGCCATTTCGGTAACTAGACGGCTGGTGGATCTGAAGGACATTGTACCGATCCTCCGAAGTGAGTTCCCTTCCTCCATTATTGCTGCCAATCAGCATGTTCATTTGCTGACATGCAGGTGAGAACTTGATAGATGAAGAATCTCAGCATGATCCGTGTGAACTGTTTCTCAGAATGACAAGCAAATTCAATCAGATCATTGAACAGAACCCGATTCGGAACACATTCGAATTCGGAGTAACCTGGGAATATGTCTTTCAGCCCTGTTCCCACGCAGTCCCTGTCAGGCAAGAGACATCCTCACTGGAGAGGCAAATGACCGTTCTCCAAATCTATCCACATGGCTCATCACTTAACCTCATCCAGCTCATGAACCTTTCATTGTGGCGTTCATGCAGTCCCCAACATTGCTTTTCGGTACCATGTGATGGACGAATGGCTGTCACTCGAGCACGAGCCAGATGTCCTTGGAATCCAACAACCTGCCCCGCATGTTACTCTCACATTGTCTGGGATCTCCGAAACCCCTCTGCAC